ACATCGATCACTCCCCTCCCTATCTGGAAGGGTTTCCCCTCTCACCTCCCAGCCAGCCAGCCCCCCAACTCACTGACCTCAACACCTTAACTTCCTGTCTGTGCCTTCTGCTCATCCTCTCCTTATCAAAGGCTGCTCTCGCACTGTTTCCCTTCTGAGCCACCCAACATACTTCTCAGAGCTGGACTCAATTCCCCGTCCCTCCAAAAAACCTTCCTTGACTTACTCACCTTAGGAGTGCGGTGCAGTTTTTACGTATCTTTCACATAAGACAATGTAACACGGCATTGTAGGTCAAGTTTTGACTGTCCATCTCTCCTCAATGCAGACAAAACTCATCCACAGCTTAACAGTGTCTCTAAGTGATTTTAGCCAAAACACAGAAGGAATTTCTAAAGCTTAGGTGTATTCCTCCTTTTGCAAAATGTCTACCATTCAGCTCCAAGTGGGGGTAAATTCCTCATAATCTATTTCATTCAGGAATATGACGGCTGATGCATCAATGACTAAAAAATGTATTTAAAACTTCATTTTACGAATCCCACAGAGGTGCCTCATGGGCTGGTCTCTGGCAGTAAGCCAGTGTGAATTTTTTACCATTCTTGCACTTCCTTGTCTCTTCTCTACCTACCATACTCATCTCCTAACACAAATTGTCACACTGTTCACAGTCCCAGGACAGCTGTCCTGCGCAACAGTCACAAAATCCACACACTTCCTATAATTCATGTACACGGCCTCAGGTGATCTGGCCATTATCACCTCCTTCCTTCCCTCCCTCAGTTCAGGTCACACTGCAGTCTTGCTTTTTCTTGCTATTCTTTCAATGCACTCAGCTTGTTCTCACCTTACAGCATCTGCGGTGCTGTTTCCTCCACAGCAACTCTCTCCCCTCACATTACCGGGAGGCTCCTTTTGCATCATGTTTCAGTTCAAATGTGCTCCTTTCAAAGAACACCTCCGATACAGAAGCGGAGGTCCATGTTCTCTCTGCCAAGGATACTATTCTGTTTTCTCCACCTTCAACACCGCACACCTTGATACTATGCCCAAAAGAATGCTTCCCAAAGATGCCAATGAGACAGAATTGAGTGCACCTGGATCAGGCCACGTGCCATCACTGGCCTCCTGTTCCTACCTGGGCTCTGTAAAATCTCCCATGCTTTGAACAGTCCTCTCTCTTCCCTTTCTGTGCCTGTTACAACTTGTGGTCCATCATCAGCGACGTCCCTTGGGCCCCCCTCTCCCCTCAGGGTGTTTCCTCCATCTTCTTGCTCTACCTGCAACCTGGGTAGCCGTGAAGTCCTTGTGAATGGGGACAGTTGTATAGGGCACAGTCCATAAATCCTCAGGGCAGGTAAGTGTCCCTTTTGTGCTGTCACTTTCAGGTCATTCTTTCATTTCCTCTTTAAAAAACAAAGCCTTGTTCACTTGAAGTACATGCACTCAATTGTATCCCAAGCTACTGTCACTATTATATCTGTCTAACAGAACTTCTGGCTCATGTTTGCTCATTCTTGATGTCTTCACTGTCTGCTGGGACAGTTCATCCTGGTTTGGCTGTGTGACCTTCCATCTCCAGTGACCTTTCTCTTCAATCCCTCCTCGGCCAACCGCATCATCTACATCATTTTTAGCCCTCCATACAACCAATGAAAATCTTCACCCCAAATTCCTGCTCATTTCTTTAGCTTTTCCCATCAGAACTTGCTCTTCACCAATCACATCACTTACCCAGTTTTTTTCTCCTTCCCAGTGTAGACTGCATAATCATCATAAATATCCTCTTGCATAAGCCTCAATTCCCGTATGTCCCTGTCTGTCTTTCTACTCGATTTATCAAGACAGAGTAACCCTGGTTACCTCTCCTCCTACAAGGCACCTGCACCAGAGCCAGAGAAGAACACACACTGATGCTGGCCAGTCTCGCCTCGAGTTCGTAAGCACCGACCTCAAGTCAGCACCTGCAGGCGAGACTGTCCGCGTCCCCAGTCAATTCACTCATCCTCTTCTCAGAGATGGCTAACACTGTCCTCTGCCTTAAGTTTCCACGTGGCTTCTTTCACTTCGGGTGAGACAACGACCTTCCCTTAGACTTCTCTGGGAAAGAGAAATGATTTTACTTTTCTCCTCAAAAATTCTGCACTAGGCTGGGCGTGGTGGCACACGCCTGTAATCCCAACACTCGGGAGGCTGAGGCAGGAGGATCGCTGTGAGTTTGAGACCAGCCTGGGCTACATAGTGAGTTCCAGGTCAGTCTCAACTACACAGTGAGACCCTGTCTCAAACAAAACAAAAAACAAAAAAAAAAATCCCTGCTTTTCTTCCACTACTGGCTTCTTCCTCCTCACTAGTTCACCCTCATCGTCACACATTCACACATGCTGCAGTGTCCCCATACTTTTTTACAGCCCCTCAACTCTTCAGCCCCCTAAGACTAACCACTCCACTTTTCAATTCCATGGTAACAAATCACATCTCAGAGTCTTCCTATTTCTATTACTTGCCCTATTAATCATTCTCTTTGAGGTTAGAAATCCTAGGATCATCTTTTTAAGTTTCCATTCCTCCCTTCATCTGCTTGCTAGCAGATTCTGCTGGGCCTTCTATCCATACGAAGTACACTCATTCTTCCATGCAGTTTCCCTGCTCCCACCCCAGCCCACCTTCTCACGGGGCCATGTGTAAATAAGGGAGACAACTCTCCACCCGGCCTCTTGATTACACCACCTCCCTTTGCTACCCTGTCCTGAACCTGCTCCTTCACCCCAGTTGGCCTAACACTGAGTTCGCCATCATGGCTCCTCTCTGCTCAGAAACCTGTAAGGATTTCTGATAGTTCCTGTCACCCGCTTTAGCTCTTCGCACGGCATTTAAGACATTCATCATCTGGTTCCACGCAGCCTCCTCTTCTGTATTTCCAACTACCTATTCACGTTAAACCTGTTCTTTTAGGCCAGTTCTGCAAATTCTTGTTTTTATATTTTATTCTTTCATATGTCCTGTCTCTGAAATCCACGATTATCCAAAGCCCAAACTGTTCCGATTCCACCCACCACAATACCATATCACACAATTTCAGGTCATACTGTCTTGACCCTAAGCGCCTGTAGTATTCCAACTTTGAACCTTCTATCACTATTAGTGACTCGGTAATTCATAAGAACATTGTCACTAATTCTTTCACATATGATATATATTTTAATTTTATGAAAAAAACCCAAATTTTCTTAATCAAATAATAACAAAGTTATTACACTGTGTACTGTTACCTTTAAAATTGTTACTCAAGACATAAACCCAAATGATTCTTACAAAAAAAAAAAAAAACCAGTAACACAACCTTTTCTTTTCAATGAACTAAGGTCAGCTATTAGAAATAAACAACTTAGCATATATATTGAAATAATTTTAAAACAACAGATTATGCAATTTGGCTTATTTTGAATAATAAAGCATTTAACCAATTCTACTTCTGGATTATATACAGACCATTTGACAAAATCAGTTCAACATTTTTTAAGAGTAAAGAAATTTAGTCAGATATGGTAATTGCTCATGTGGGAATTATCTTAAAGTTCAAACTGCTGAATCTCACAAACAGATTGTCTAGAACCAGTTTAAAAATTAAGAAAGTTAATCTCTACTTTTCAAAGATCATAAATACACACCTAACTAATTACAAATGCAACTGTCCTAAGTTTGGGACATAACTACCTGCGATGGCATCGTACTTAGATCTGCTACATCTCAACAACTTAGATGGTTGCAAAGAGGGTGTGTGCTCTGGAGCAGGGTGTAAGTGATGACAGACACAGGCACTGTGGGGCAATGGAAAAAGTGTCAAGAAATGTAAGAATGGCAAAAAGTAATAAATCTAAATTGATATATTATTTCATAAAATGTGACTTTAAATATGTACGAGTAACTAAATTAACTATTTACATAGATATAGGGCCACATCCTTTATATCCCTATATGTTTATACAGTATACTAAAGTTGACAAAATACTTTTTTTTGTTTTAAAGCAAATGAGGACAAAGATGAGCACTAGGCCACCAGAGGACAGAGATGTGTTAGGTCAGTGCTGGTGGGGGACAGGGCTGAGACCCAAGGCCAGGCCTACCCCCTTGTTAATTTTGGTTGTGGGCCATAGCACCAAGCTCTGGATACTCCACTTGGGATTACCCTAGTTACAAATCGTGTTTTCAATCTTTTCTAGGTTGTATGCATCAATGTAGGAGTTATGAGCCATATTAGTAAAATTTCCTTGTTAATTTTTCTGACTTTTATTGTACATGTCTACAGTACACAATGTGATCACGTTCACTGTAGGGAACTGGTACTTGTACATAACACATTTCAATCCTTTTTTTCCTCTGCCCTCCACTCCCTTTTATTTTTCACTCAGATTCACTTATTTATAAGACCTTATAAAGTTAATCATCATATGTCCAGATGGAAAAGCTGACTCATAGGCCAAAGAACAATTCTGGACTTCTCTCCAGAGAATGGGGCCTCATGATACACCCACACCTTGATTCCTGCCCCTGGTAAAACCAACCTCAGCCTTCAAATCTCAATGTGCAATTCTCCCTTCTTTTCTGCTGGGCTCCCAGCGCAGGATGAGCTGTCTTTCTAATTAGCAGAATCTCCTCATGGAGCACCATCCTGTCGTCAGTGGAGCGGAATGGATCTCATGACAACAGATGCTGATCTCAAGCACACCACTCGAGAAATCATCTGTTCCGCAGAGGTGACCCGGGCCTGCTGGAGCCGGCTATGCTGGTCACACCACATTACCCACTCCATGCTTCCCGGAAACACACATCCAACACCTTATCAGTATCTGGCACACTTTCTGCATCTCTGTCAGGATTCTAAAAGCTACCACACTCTATAAGCTTGTCTTTGCCTTTTCAGGCTCAAATAGAGTCAGCGCTCAGAGTTAGACACTATTAAGTCTTCAAGATGGATGGTTAACAAAATTAATGCCTACCTTCAATCCTCTTTAAAGCTGAAAGGCACATATCCTTCCTCGGAAACTCAAAGGGGTTGTTGCAGGTTCGAATGGTGTCACATTCACATTTCCCATTGATTATATTGCAGCCAGAGATAAGGTTTTCATTGCATGGTTCAAAACCAAGAAGTTGGTCATCATCCCAGTTCTCATCTGTAAAACAAATGCCCAGATGATGTTTGTTTGCTGCTTCATACAAAGGCCTGTTTGAGAGCAAAAATGCATAGAGATGTCACAATGAATGTCCAATTCTGACACCTCAATTTGTGAAAGGTCTTTGGCTGAGAGAATACAAATGAATGAAACCCAGCCTCCTCCTAACAACCCAAAAGAGTGAAATGTGGCCATACACATAGATGTTAAATTTCAACATGCAAACATCTGTATCAAAAGCTGCTACTTTTCTCATGGGCCACTTCAACAACAAATGAGACTTTTTAAAAATTTTGCATTTTAAATAAAATTTCTTGGATTTTTCTGCATTTAATAGATTACATGAGTTACATTTGTCATCTACAAATTTTTTTTTCAGCACTGGAGATCTAACCCAGGGCCTTGTACATGCTAGACAACCGCTTTACCACTGATCTACATCCTCAACCCCAAAAGTATTTTTTAAAGCTAATTTTTTTCTCTATCAGTACAGACCAGTTTCAGATTTAAAAGAGTTCTTCAATTTAACACATCAGGGCAGCTAATAAACAGCAAAAGTAAGACATATAGAAGAGTCAAGAATAAGAGCCCATAGAAGAAATCCTCCCCAGTGCATTACGGGACCAATCACTAGTGTTTAAGGCTGTCCATGGCCAAGCCCAGCTAGAACCCCAAGCCTAAAGGCCACAGCCTGAGAGGCTGAGCTCATCACATTCTAAAGCCGAAACCAATTCAGGTGCGGGTCATGGAATAGAGTAGTCAGTGATAAAACTAGATTTTAAAACCAGTTTTCCTCAGACTCAGCTCAGAAAAATGCAACACAAAAAAACAACAGGCCGGTTGATTCTTACTAATATTCCTCACAGGTCAAACATCTCTCATAAGAAACCAGACTTTCTCTATAGACCCTCAGGACATTACATGTTTTCCCTCTCTCAATATTACCTTTAAAATATATTTTATCATATCTGAACTATGTTTCTGATAACTATATCTGGAGAGAATTTTTAAAAGTGCTTGAATTCAAGAAACGTTAACTTGTTACACACACTAAAGCAGGAATAAATATCATCCTAAAGACAGTGTGGGCTGGGAAAATAGCTCTGTAGTAGGGAGGTCCTAGGTTTGATCCCTGGGACCATAAAGGAAAAAAAAAAAAGAGTGGTTTTACTAGAAGATGGTGTAAAACAAACAGGGGTGTGTGTGTGTGTGTGTGTGTGTGTGCAGGGGAGGAGAAAGGACAATAGGACAACACTAATATTTACTGCTTTTATCTTCTATGTACAAGCTAGGCAAGACTGTCATGGAAATAATTTTCTTGATAAGGGGTCTTTAGAAGAACAGCATCTATAATATAAAGATCTTCAGGATGATTTTTTGAGAAAGGAGAAGAGAAAAATCTCCTGTACTTTGATTTCAGATCATACTCATGCAATCTAAGCTTTAGCTCTCAGTAAATTATCTTTTGGTTTAAAGATTTAAACAAAAACACAAGTGATCAGTTGAAAATTTTTGTTTTCTTAGCCTATATCTGGTTCTCAGAAATAACATATATGTAATATATAAAATACACACAAAAAGGCACATTCTCATTTTTATGCTAACAGTGAAATTACTAAATTATTCTAAAAGACAGACCAAAAAGTATTTGAAAGAATTCAACACAAATTAGGTGATGATATCTGTTTTCCATCATAAAATGGTGTATTCAAATGACTTTACGTCCCTCCTTTGATTGCTGACATGCTTTTAGCATCAATCTAATACATTTCAATGAAATCTGCCATGAAGGACCTTTTGTGAGTGCATATGCAAATTTGCTGTTCAAAGATAGTTCAATCCCAGGAATTTCAAAACTTGCAAGAAATTCAAGAAACAGCTTAACAACTGAAAAATTATTAAATATTCTCCCCTTTTTCCTTCATATTCCTGAGAGGAAAAGTAGTAACTGTTTTTGTAAATACACACAGTATCATCAAACTGAGTTGACTATCAAATCTACCAAAGATTTTTTCCACATTAAACACCCCTTTCCTCCATTATAATTGGAAGTTCCTAAAGACATCACCCTCATGAGTTTACAAAGTATTCTAAACCTGTTTCCCTTCCACTTTTTTCTTATCCCTCCTCTACCTCATTCTCCACAGGTAAGACCTGTACTTATTTCTAGACTCCTCTCTCACCAATTCCTCTGACATCTACTGCTCTAAGCACCCCAAAACTGTAACCATTGCTCCATGCTGTGATCACCAAGCATCATCCACCCAGAACACCTCTTTCCCCTCTTCCTCTTGTAACTCCTACTCATCCTCTAAGGCCAACCTCAAATATTACCCCTTTGGACTGCTCTATCCTCTGTGCCCTGCAAACACCTGCACAGACCCCTTGCCATTCCCTCTGTACCAGCCATTTTAGGGTTTTATCTTCTAAGTCAAATTTCCCCAACAGACAAGGTCCTAATAGGTGGGAGGCAAACCAACTTTGAATGCCCTTAACCCCATAGTTAGTACAGTTTCATAATATCATATCATGTATCACACACATGAACACACATTCCTGTAAATGGTACAGTCTGTTTCTCTTTTGGGGGGTCCTGGGGATCAAACCCAGGACCTTGTGCACGAGAGGCAGGTGAGGTACCACTGAGCTAATTACCCGGCCCTGGTATGTTTCATTTTTAACCAAAACATGCCCAAATAAATATAAATATAAATATACACACATACATATCTATATACATACATATAAATATATATATACACACAAAGGAAAAAAGATAAGAACATGTTTAAATACTTTTAAAAGCTTATTATTAAAGCACTGTATGATGCACACATTTTAAAGAACTGCTTGGACACACTGGAGCATTTCTGATTAAACATCATCTGCTGTTAGGCTCCTTCCCAGTTCAGTACTAAGACTGTAACCTCTTATCACTTGGCTGACAACAACAGTCCTTCCAAGGAGCCCATCTCTGAGCCAAACTGTTCTCACTACCAGATGCTTTTCTCTGCCATCCAGCAGGAAGACTGTTTCCCCTGAATATAGAATCAGAACCAAAAGGTGACTGCCTGTGCTCATCTCCCTGGCTACTGTTTCCTGCGGTGTCCTGGTAGCAAGCACTGGCTACACTTGAAGACGCGCACACACACAGGGAGAGCTGACTGTTCCCTTGGAGAGAGCGCAGGCACTGGGAGCCATCAGGAAGCACCTTGGATTCCGCATTCAGCAGGGCCTGACTTGCTTTTCTTTTCTTTGTTGAGAGGAAACCTATCAATTCTCTGCCCCCTCCTAAACAATACTTTTGTTTTTTTCTTCTCAAGTAGTTCCCTTAGCAACCACTGTGTTATAGGATGAAGCACAACATGCTTCTGAGATAAACACTTTTATGGTTTTCTATTATAGAACATTGTAATTTAAAGTAATTTAACAGAAAATCAACAGGGACTGAAAACAAAATTTAATCAAATTTGATTAAATCACAGACTTACTTGCATCTGAGTAAAGCTGAGTACAATAGTGGTTGAGTATCCCTTATCCAAAATTTTTGGGACTAAAAATGCTTCAGATTTTAGAGCTTTTGGGATTTTAGAGTATTTGCATAGACTTTGCATTATGTCAGTGCTCAAATTTTTGTGGGTTTCTGAGCACTTCAGATGACAGATCAGGGATACTCCCTCAAACCTGTGAGGCTGCTGTGGACACCTGGCAAATTCTGTTTTTAGATATACAGCAAAGGATCACTGCTTTGATTCTCTATCAGAGTTCCTGCTTCTCCTTGGACTAGTCAAGCGGGGGAAAAAGTGTTAGAAACAGGAGTACTGTCCTTTATTTATATCAAGCAGGTTTTCTTCCTGGTACTCTACACCTGCTAGAGTAAAAGGTCAAGGCAATAAGATACCTCCTCAAATGTATTTTAAAATATTGTAACTTCTGCAAGATAACAAATCAGGAGGTGGAGAAAGTTACTTTTTGCAAATATAAATGAGAGAAATATAACAACTTCATACACAAACTCAGACTCATACTGTCCACACATGTGAGTGGGACAGTGGAGATTCGGATGCACCTAACTGCTACCGGACACCTGCCTTGGATGTTCAGAAGCCGCCCTGAAAGACAATGCTTTCCCTAGACAGGGCCGACGAGAAGCAAGAGTACAGATCTCCCTCCAGAGCACTTCCCACTCATCCCACAGAACGTGGGTGACACAACCGAGGGCCAAGAGTTAATAAAATCGGCCATTTGTACTGCTTCAGTCAAGGGCATCCTTAAGGGAAACTGATGCTTCATTTTACTATTTTAATTACTATGTTCTTTAGCACAGTGCTTGGTGGTAAATATGAGGACTCCCTAGCGGTTTGGTGCCATGGCCTCTATTCAAACTAAGATGTCAGCAGTTTCACCATTGCTTTTGAACCACTGGTTCCAAGGTGGCAGAGATAAAAGGCAACTAAAATTTTAATACTGGGTACCTCTGAGGTCTGCAGGCCACAGGGAGAGAACCGCTGCTCTAGAGAGCATCATAATCTCCTGCCAGTGCCCCTATGCCACAGCAGCAGGAAAACCAAAGCCAGAGGACACTGGGCACCTCTTCTCCTAACAGCTACCACTGCATCAGAAAACCTCACGCTTCTTCGGTGGGACTTGGCCAAAACAATAAGTCCCAGGTGAGCTTTGAACTTGCAGACACGAACGGACCTCGCCTGACCAACACTCGTAGATACGAAGGAATCGTGGGAGTAGCTCACCGTCTGGGGGACACCGTCACTGCTGTGCTGCTACGTGCAGACTGTACAGTGGTATGGTGCTCAATCAGAGCCCAGGACATCCGGAAGCAGGATGAAGAGCAGTGGTGGTGAGGAGGGGACCAGCAGGAAGCGCAGAGCATTCACTGTATATGGGTGTCAAAGGCGTGTCACGCTCACTTTGTCAGACTGAACGAATGAGCCCACTTAGGGATGAAACCGACATGTTCTTCTTGAATGGAAAATGACATTAGTATGCAAGGCAAAAGTTGCTTTGATTCATACATGATTTTTCCCAGAACAAAATCAGAATCTTGTTTTTTGTTTTTTT